ATCGAATATGTGACAACTAGAAGAGTGGTTTTGTAGCCCCCCCCCCCCCGACGTTTCAGTTTATTAGTGTTATCGAATATGTGACAACTAGAAGAGTGGTTTTGTAGCCCCCCCCCCCCCGACGTTTCAGTTTATTAGTGTTATCGAATATGTGACAACTAGAAGAGAGGTTTTGACAATAAATTTAGTGTTTAATATTCACACCCATGCAATGTAAGCAAGATAGCAAAACGGGACAGAGTTTCTAAATCTATGTAACATCTGCAGTCATGCAATCATGAAATATGTATGTGTGTGGTACTAAATGCCGTATGGAACAGTCATTCCATAACACTTGTTTATATCAGTAGACTCCTCCAGTGGATTAGCGGTAAGTTTACGGACTTACAACGCTAAAATCCGGGGTTCGAATCCGGACTGCGTGATTTATGAAGCTGGTAGTCTTATATGTAGTAGATGTTATCTAGAAGGGAGCGCGTGTGTCCCCCCTCCCCCCCACACCGGGAAGATTAAAAAAAAAGGCGAGAAAGATTCATGGTGTTGATTTTGCTATTTAAACGTTTCATCCTAGTCATAGTTATAGTATGCTCAGGTCATATGTACATGTAAAATTCTGAAGAAAATAGAAATTTTCATTCCAGGGCAACTTGGGCGCCACCTGAACAATAAGATTAGTTTTCACGAATTGTTTTCAATGAATTATTAATTAATTTGATATGATGTCAGATGTGCTTGTATTGCTTTTATTATGATGGTGATAAAAAAAAAGCGTTTATGAAACAGTGGCGAATATTGAATTTGGCTTATTAAGAAGTAAATAAATATTAAAGCGCTATGCAGCGGTGAAAACATATTTTGAATGGTCGGATTCTGGATCCGTCAGTGTAAGATGAAAAGATACCTCAATCAGCCGGCAGTTGTGATGCATGTCAGCTGACTGCCATGATGTGTAGGATACAACAATGTTATGATGTATGCAACTTGTAGTCATACTTTATAGCGGATTGGTGTACATGTTGTTGTTGGTTGTCACGATGCATAAAAGCTGGTGTAAAATGCCGTATGACAGCTAACACTCGTGGTGTATAATAGCTTGTGGTGATTATGTATAACACCTGGGTTTCATAGTATGTAATAGCTGGTACGTATGGAGTATAACGGGTGGTACTTATGGAGTACAACTGGTGGTACTCGTGATGTATAGCAGTTGGTTCTCATAGTGTATAACTAGTGATAATCATGATTTATGATAGTTCACTCATGATGTATAACTGGTAGTAATCATGATTTATGATAACCGACTTATGATGTATAACTAGTAGTAATCACGATTTATGACAACTGACTCATGATGTATAACTGGTAGTAATCACGATTTATGACAACTGACTCATGATGTATAACTGGTAGTAATTCCATAATTACCATCAGTTATACACAACGATTACCACCAGTTATACACCATAATTACCACCGGTTATACACAACGATTATCAACAGCTGTACACCATCAGTACCACCGGTTATACATCATAAGAACCAACTGTTATACACATTAATTACCACCAGTTATACACAACGATTACCAACGGCTGTACATCATCAGTACCACCAGTCATACATCATGAGTCAGTTATCATAAATCATGATTACTACCAGTTATACATCATGAGTAAGTTATCGTCAAAGAAGGACCATCAGTTATACACAACGATTACCACCAGTTATACACCATCAGTACCACCGGTTATACATCATGAGTACCAACTGTTATACAAATTATGGTGTATAACAGTTGGTACTCATGATGTATAACCGGTGGTACTGATGGTGTACAGCCGTTGGTAATCGTTGTGTATAACTGGTGGTAGTTATGGTGTATAACAGTTGGTACTCATGATGTATAACCGGTGGTACTGATGGTGTACAGCCATTGGTAATCGTTGTGTATAACTGGTGGTAATTATGGTGTATAACAGTTGGTACTCATGATGTATAACCGGTGGTACTGATGGTGTATAGCCGTTGGTAATCGTTGTGTATAACTGGTGGTAATTATGGTGTATAACAGTTGGTACTCATGATGTATAACCGGTGGTACTGATGGTGTACAGCCGTTGGTAATCGTTGTGTATAACTGGTGGTAATTATGGTGTATAACAGTTGGTTCTCATGGTGCGTAGCACTCTGTAACTGAGGCGTAGGAAAATTTGTCTAACGCTGTTTGATATAATATGATATGTCTCTATAAAAGATACAAAACACAAAATACGATTTCTTATCAATGTAGAAGTTTGTATGTTTGTTTTCACAACAATTAAGACTACGCCCACCAGTCTTATCAGTAGGCTTTTATCACCACAACGTGTTATCAGCAATTTACTTCAACTACGCTAAAGTTCAAGCTATCAAAGTCTGAGAAAACGACATGGATTGGAAAAGACCGTGTTATTTCCAGGTGTGACAACTGGTATTTACCTGGTCTCCGTGACGTAACATCAGGACAGCAGCTGGTGACTGTCACGAATGGTTGCAGTAAGTTAAATTACATTCCTTTTTATTTCTTATTTATTCCATAATTTCACTAACAGTATTGAGTAAAATGTTTAGTATGTGTATATATATTTATGTATATTTATATATATATATTTATTTTTATTACCTTTCACTTAATTGTTATATTTATATTTTTTAATGAAGTTTATTTTACATTGTTACCTTAGTATCTGAGTTTCGGACTAACATAAATACCATAAACTGGGCGAACCTTGTGAGATGATATTGGGATTACGGACGAAAATGTCGACAACCGCGAAGGTTCACAACATATGAATCAATGTATTCCAATCTTTATAAATTCTATTATTATTATTACATGCTCAGATAGCAGTGTTATATGCGTAAGCCACCAAGTTACTTTACTTGTTTTCCTAACATTTAAAAGAAGCAGTTCACCCAGTAAAGGTTGCACTCTGCCATCTATAAAGTCCAAGTGATTTTACAACTTATCTTAACATTTTTAAGGACTAGTTCATCTTATACAGAGTGCACTTTGATATCTGTAAAGCCCAAGTGATTTTACAAGTTGTTCTAACGTTTAAAGAACCAGTTCATAAAGTCAAAGTGACTTTACTAGTTATCTTAACTTTTATAGGAACCAGTTAATGTGATACAGAGTTTACTATGACATATAAAAGGTTCAAGTGACTTTATCGGTTATTTTATAAGAACCAGTTCATCTAATACAGAGTGATCTATGATATAGATAAAGCCAAAGTGATTTTACAAGTTGTTCTAATGTTCAATGAACCATTTCACCCAGTAATGATTGCATTTATGGGGCCAGTAAATGTTACTATTTATCATAACGATGAAAAGAACCAGTTCATCTAAGACAAAATGCACACTGACATCTATATGGCCCAAGTGATTTTACAAGTTATCCTGATGTTTAACAGAATCAGTTCACTAATTATAATGATCTATATTTCTAAAATACTCCACCGATTTTACTGGCTGTGGTAACCTTTAAGAAACACCAGCCCGTCCGCTGTAGAAGACACTATGTTATCCAGCAAAACATATAATATTGTCTCTTTGATCTAATACTTGGGTAGGACCACTCTAGGGCGTTTAATTCCCTAACTAATAACGCCTTATCACGACATTTAGTAGTAAGGGCGTTCTACTCCCTAATAACACTTTATCACGACATTTAGTAGTAAGGGCGTTCTTCCTCCATAATAACACTATCACGACATTTAGTAAAGGCGTTCTACTCCCTAATAACGCTTTACCACGACATTTAGTAGTAAGGGCGTTCAACCCTCTAATAATGCTTTATCACGACATTTACTAAGGGCGTTCAACTCCCTAATAACGCTTTACCACAACATTTAGTAGTAAGGGCGTTCTACTCCCTAATAACACTTTATCACGACATTTAGTAAGGGCGTTCAACCCCTTAATAACGCTTTACCAGGACAATTATCAGATTATTTTTTATATTTTATATAGGCGCTCAGATGCGGATTTTTTCAAAATCTATCCAGATCTTGCTTGTGCCTCAACTGTTTGTCCCCTAAATCTTTTCAGACGACTACTCACATTCAATACACACAGACAGTAAGCTTCACGGGGCTATCTAGGCTATTCTAACGCCTAGATTTCCCTCTGTTCTTACTCCACACACATTTTGTGCTATCTTCCAGTGTATTAATGGCCTGAGAGTGCTAAGATAACTTGTTTGCTCTAAGTCTAGTCAGCTGACACCCACAGTGATTGGCTCCTAAAATCATGTAAAAGACAACTACCGGAATTCAACTTGATAAACCAGTAGGATGTCCCATTATTGTTTAACATGCGCATCCTTAATCCTGGTGTGCTGTTTTGTCCATTTACACCAATACTTATTTTAAACAGAAACTGACACATTTTTCCGGCAGTCCGTTCACTTTGAACGACTCGGTTGGCCAGCACACATTAACGATGCCCAGCATGAAGAGACCGCCTGCTTCAGGGCGGAAGCTGGCTCCGGGTACGTCGCTGACTTCCTGCCAGACTATACTATCTTGAGTGGCAGATACCCTTAGTGGGGTCTTATTGCCCTATCGAAAGACGGGGTTTTCCTGCTAATCTAATAATTACTAACCGTCCTGATGGACACCGCAAACGATTAATGCTAGTCTGTCCTGAGCTAACTTTGATGATTCTAGAACAATGACAGAAGCCATTTTGAAAGTTCTATAATACCATGGACGGATTATCCCGCAAAATGTGAACTCCAAATGCATACACATGCTTGATATAAAAAGTAGACAACAAACAACTGAAAATATGGCTTCATAATTAGCCAAATAACGTGTTTGTAATCTGAAGCTCATTATGTCCACGAGTGTAATAAGCCTTGCATCAAATCAATGTTTCTTACGAATACGATGAGAAAATTGTACCAAATTACAATGGTTTTCACATGGAATGTAAGAGTAAATTTAATTGCTTATTTTTCCACCAGCTGGCGTCTCCCCCACATCACGTGCTCATGAACCATGGATGGCTAAACATAAAGGGCGTGCCAATTTACTTATTTATTTTACTAATACAGTACAGTGTTAAGCCTAACCAAAGCGTGTAATCACTAGATACGCTTTGTTATTGGATGATATTTCGTGAAATCCCAGTTCGTATGTAGAGCGTGATAGTCCTGTCACTGTAGTAAGACTCTAATTATCTTGTTAACAAATTAATGTTTTCACCGAGCGCCTCGAAGTTAGGTTTGAACTTAAAAGTTCCTAGCTTTAAGTTCAACAACGGCTAAGTTAATTCCAGTTCGAATAAAAACATTTTTTTACGCAAAGTTCCACACCGATAAATAGGCAGAATGTTGAAAAAAATCGGGCAAGATTCGCATTATTTCCTGAAACGTTCGTTTTAAAGTAAAGCCACTTTGGGTTATCTGCTGTGTCCGCTGCGGGGAATCGAACCCCGTCTTTTAGCTTTATAAGTCCGTTACGCAAGTTATGTATAATCACGTGACTCCATTCACAAGTTCGAATACTGCACTGATATGATAATATGGTCCATGTGTCTTTTAATTGTAACTTTTCTCACATCGTGCGTTATATCAGTGAATATCTTTTCAATCTACGGTTAAGACCAATGAACTTTGTATTCAGTGATATTATATTAGTTTTTTTCTCTTTTGAAAAAGTTGTTAGTGCCATGATAAAAAAAAAGAGTTGTATTTTCAAGTATTACGTATATAAAAAGTTCAGAACATGTATTTTATCGTGTAGCGGATGTTGCACTAACAATAGCGTACTGAGGTGAATATCAGGAGTAGTTCTATATCCTTCCATTTCACTGCACGTCGGTTAAGCATCCGGCGTTGTCTGCCAAAACAAACGGATCTATGAACGAGTTAGTTTTTAAACGGCATGCTACTATTTATTAATATTATTACTACAATAATTATGCATGATGTTAAGTCTAATTCTGGATTTAAACATTTTATACTGTGACTCTAGCTTCACCGACCTCAAAATTTAGGGTTATAATCGGGGTAACATTGAAGTGTTACATATAATTTGAAGGTTACAAGATCAAGATGAAAGTGTCGCGCTGATAAGTGAGTGGTGGACTCTCAAAGTTTGTAGTTTTTGTTCTTATAGAATATATAAAATTTGTCACAAGAGGGAGATAGTAAAATAATGGCAATAGTTCAATAGTTACACGTAGACATTTCAATAGATTTACACGTAGACATTTTCAATAGAGCTACACGTAGGTATTTTAAATAGTTACACGTAGATATTTCAATAGAGCTACACGTAGGTATTTCAGTAGTTACACGTAGACATTTCAATAGAGTTACACTTAGGTATTTTAATAGTTACACGTAGACATTTCAATAGAGCTACACTTAGGTATTTTAATAGTTACACGTAGACATTTCAATAGTTACACGTAGGTATTTCAATAGTTACACGTAGGCATTTCAAATAGAGTTACACGTAGGTATTTCAATAGTTACACGTAGATATTTCAATAGAGCTACACGTAGGTATTTCAATAGTTACGCGTAGACATTTCAAATAGAGTTACACGTAGACATTTCAGTAGAGCTACACGTAGATACTTCAATAGAGCTACACGTAGATACTTCAACAGAGTGACACGTAGATATTTCAATATATACTTTTCTGAATAAAAAAAACGCAGAAGGCAATAATGGATGTGTTTTATTAGTTCTATATTTATTAGTCTAAAACATTAAAACGGGCAAATTTCTTTAACGCACACGCATATATATATACATATACTGACCCTAAAATACATTACATCTTCCCTAGAAAGCAGTAAAGAAAATACTAGCATAATACGAATAAATACATAACACATCCTTCACTAAACTTCGTATCATTTACCTTTATAGGACGAACTGTCAGTGACTGGTGAATCGATGTCACTATTTATTACGTTAGGCTTAACGCTCTTTCCAAATTATAGCTAGAACCACAAAACCTTAACCTATTAGACTTAAACTATGTGGCAGAAGTCTATTTGTCAGTACCATGCCAATAATAATAGTGTTATAGTGTAGTATTATAAACAGTTTTATTTTAGCGTGGGTTTTATTCATTTCAGATAATATTCATGTGTTTCTATTTTGATTTCATATTGACCTGTCATATTAAACCTCAGTCGTAGTGGTATTCTACTTAAATAACCATTTATATACGGAAATATTCTTTTCCTGTTATTATATGTTTGTGTGTTAAAGAAGTGTTGGACTGAAAGATATTTTGGCAAGTAGGCCAGGAAATGCATCACACAAAATATTTAAATCACAACTCCTAGCGGCGATTCGGCGTTACATAAAAAAAGTTAAAAGTGTGTGTGTGTGTGTATAGTAAACAATATTCAACTGTACCACCAATGAAAATGGTACAGAAACGAATGCGATTTCCGAGATCGATAGCTATCATTCAGTCAGATTGACCAAGACTACAACCTACGTGCGTTTCTGTACTAAG